GTTTCCCCACCACTTCATCTTCCTCACTGTATCCCTTTTTCCACTCTCATCTGCAGTCATTTTCTCCTCATCCGTCACCCAATCCCTTTGTTTTTTGTCACTTCCTGCCCCATCCACTCGTGTGTGTGTGTGTGTTTGTGTGATCTCCTCCAACTGTCTGCTCCACACATTCTCCAAGACTTTCAGCTCTGATCAAGCCATCGTGGCAGATGCTTAATTGTGTCTGCCAGGTTTGTGATGTGCTGACAGTCCCACAATCCCCTGGCACTCGCACTCCTATAGGGCGCTGGTCTTTGTCAGGCGGGATGATGCGTTTCCTGGCATTAAACTCTGAAATGTCAGCAAGACAGACAGGAAGTAAATAGAAGGGGACTAGTTTCTAATTGCAGACTCCAAGCTTTCAAGTTTATTTGTTAAGTGACTTGTGCCTCAAGACACAAAGTCTGTTTTGATCATTGTGTGTTCACTTTTAAAAAACTTTTGCTGATAATTTACTCACCTCAATGCCATCCAAGATGTCCATGTCATTCTTTCTTCAGTCGAAAAGAAATTAAGGTTTTTGATGAAAACATTCCAGAATTTTCTTCATATAATGGACTTCATTGGGAACCAAACGGTTCAAGGTCCAAATGAGAGTTTGTTCGAACTCGTTCATCAAAATGAACAAATCTTTTTTCGAGTCATGACTCAAAGAGTCCTAGATAAGACCCTCATTCATCGTCTGCTGTCGTTTAAAGCCCTTTGAAGCTGCACTGAAACTCTTATTTGGACCTTGAACCGTTTGGTTCCCAATGAAGTCCATTATATGGAGAACATCCTGGAATGTTTTCATCAAAAAACTTAAAGGAGTAGTTCACTTTAAAAAAAAAAAAAAACTTTTGCTGATAATTTACTCACCCTCATGTCATCCAAGATGTCCATGTCTTTCTTTCTTCAGTCGAAAAAAAATTAAGGTTTTTGATGAAAACATTCCAGGATTTTCTCCATATGAAGAGTTCAGATGCAAAAGCCTCTAAATTTTAAAATTTTCTTCTAAAATGACCATTTTTATCAAGCTTATATTTTTAAGTTCAGTAATTTCACTTAAATGACAATTAATAGGTAATCTTCATTGCCATTTAAGTGAAATTACTGAACTTCAATATACAAGCTTGATGAAAATTATCATTTTAGAAGAAAATTTCAAATGGCATTTAGAGGCTTTTGCATCTGAACTCTTCATATAATGGACTTTATTGGGAACCAAACGGTTCAAGGTCCAAAAGTCAGTTTCAGTGCAAACTGTTCAAAGGGCTTTAAACAATTCCAGACGATGAATAAGCGCCTGATCAAGCGAAACGATCGCTCATTTAAAAAAAAAAAATGACAAAGTTTAAGTTTTATAAACTCAAATGGTCGTCTTGCTCTGTTCTGCTATGCGCGTTTGTGTCTCCTGTTCGAACTCATTTATCAAAATGAACTAATCTTTTTTTTCATGTCATTTGGTTCATTCAACGAACTAAATGAACGAGTTGACTCAGGAAAAGATTTGTTCATTTTGATGAACGAGTTCAAATAGGAGAGTCACGAATGTGCATCACACCCTAAACCTAACCCTAACAGAGCAAGGCATCCATTTGAGCTTATAAAACTTAAACTTTGTTATTTTCTTTTAATGAGCGATCGTTTTCGCTTGATAAGACCCTTATTCATCATCTGGAATTGTTTAAAGCCCTTTGAACAGTTTGCAGTTTGCACTGAAACTGTCTTTTGGACCTTGAACTGTTTGGTTCCCATTGAAGTCCATTATATGGAGAAAAATCCTGGAATGTTTTCATCAAAAACCTTAATTTCTTTTCGACTGAAGAAAGAAAGACATGTACATCTTGGATGACATGGGGGTGAGTAAATTATCAGCAAAAGTTTTTTTTAAAGTGAACTACTCCTTTCAGTTTATCAAGCGACGGGAATACTTTTTGTGTGCAAAAAAAACAAACAAAAATAACGACTTTATTCAACTATTCATTTCCTTCTCTGTGGGCCTCGAGGTTGTACGTCACGCATCACACACGGCCAGCGTTGGCCAATCGTGAGCCTACGTTTGAGGTCCATCCTGCTCTTTAAAGCTACTTAATTGCTAAAGTAAATTCTACATTTTTTTTCCTTGTTTGGGAAGGTTTCACTCGGTCCATCACAAGAGAGAACTGTTTCATGCTGACTTTAAACCCCAAAAATATAGCTTTTGAAAAAGTAATAATTACTGAAATTACTGTCATCTCTAACTCGCCCACGTGCATCACTATGAGTAATTAGGCCTTATTTTAATCTCCTTCTGTTTGACATTTAATTGGCATTTAACACTGCAGAAAAATTCTCAGTGCAGTTCAATAAAAATGTAAAAGAGGGTTGTTTAATTAGACCAACACTGTTTCCATTTTATTACCATCTATCACAGCATCATTTTCTTTTGCAAGCAGTGCAGGTTTGCTCCTCTTTCATCTTCTCCAGCTCGCAGCACACACACACACACACACACGTCACACTCTCGCTGGATTCTCATTAAACAGCGCTTTACAGCAGGACGCGCTCACTTGTGTGTAGCTCACCGCCCTTGTGTTCCTCTATTAGGGGACTGTCCACACACTCTTGGGTAAAGTTGTTTGATGTGTTGGTTTTAAGAGCCACTTTGATATGTTTGATTCTTATTCAGAGGTGATTCTTTACAACCAGATGAAGAGCGTTTGAAGAAATAGTCATTACTTTAATGCAAACTTATGTTTTAAGTTTTTGAATCAAAATCTCTCTTCTAAACCACTTTTATGATGAGATTTTACACTGACTGCATATTTGTTATTTCTGAGATAACATGTGTATCTGCATATAATATACACTCACCGGCCACTTTATTAGGTACACCTGTCCAACTGCTCGTTAACACTTAATTTCTAAGCAGCCAATCACATGGCGGCAACTCAGTGCATTTAGGCATGTAGACATGGTCAAGACAATCTCCTGCAGTTCAAACCGAGCATCAGTATGGGGAAGAAAGGTGATTTGAGTGACTTTGAACGTGGCATGATTGTTGGTGCCAGAAGGGCTGGTCTGAGTATTTCAGAAACTGCTAATCTACTGGGATTTTCACGCGCAACCATCTCTAGGGTTTACAGAGAATGGTCCGAAAAAGAAAAAACATCCAGTGAGTGGCAGTTCTGTGGGCGGAAATGCCTTGTTGATGCCAGAGGTCAGAGGAGAATGGCCAGACTGGTTCGAGCTGATAGAAGGGCAACAGTGACTCAAATAACCACCCGTTACAACCAAGGTGGGCAGAAGAGCATCTCTGAACGCACAGTACGTCGAACTTTGAGGCAGATGGGCTACAGCAGCAGAAGACCACACCGGGTGCCACTCCTTTCAGCTAAGAACAGGAAACTGAGGCTACAATTTGCACAAGCTCATCGAAATTGGACAATAGAAGATTGGAAAAACGTTGCCTGGTCTGATGAGTCTCGATTTCTGCTGCGACATTCGGATGGTAGGGTCAGAATTTGGCGTCTACAACATGAAAGCATGGATCCATCCTGCCTTGTATCAACGGTTCAGGCTGGTGGTGGTGGTGTCATGGTGTGGGGAATATTTTCTTGGCACTCTTTGGGCCCCTTGGTACCAATTGAGCATCGTTGCAACGCCACAGCCTACCTGAGTATTGTTGCTGACCATGTCCATCCCTTTATGACCACAATGTACCCAACTTCTGATGGCTACTTTCAGCAGGATAATGCGCCATGTCATAAAGCTGGAATCATCTCAGACTGGTTTCTTGAACATGACAATGAGTTCGCTGTACTCAAATGGCCTCCACAGTCACCAGATCTCAATCCAATAGAGCATCTTTGGGATGTGGTGGAACGGGAGATTCGCATCATGGATGTGCAGCCGACAAATCTGCGGCAACTGTGTGATGCCATCATGTCAATATGGACCAAACTCCCTGAGGAATGCTTCCAGCACCTTGTTGAATCTATGCCACGAAGAATTGAGGCAGTTCTGAAGGCAAAAGGGGGTCCAACCCGTTACTAACATGGGGTACCTAATAAAGTGGCCGGTGAGTGTAGGCTTAATAATGTTAATTGAAAAGCACATGAAGAGTTCAGATGCAAAAGCCTCTAAGTGCCATTTGAAATTTTCTTCTAGAATGATCATTTTTATCAAGCTTGTATATTTAAGTTCAGTGATTTCACTTAAATGGCAATGATAATTGCCTATTAATTGTTATTTAAGTGAAATTACTGAACTTAAATATACAAGTTTAATAAAAATCATCATTAAAGAAGAAAATTTCAAATGGCATTTAGAGGCTTTTGCATCTGAACTCTTCACATATGTTTTTATAACTGCTTGCCCATTTGTGGGACTGTCTCATCACTCTAGCCTGTCAAATGCTGAATGTTCCCCTAATGTAATGTTCTTAGACTTAATGCATTCCAGAATGTTGCAGGAAAGTGTGTATGCGTATATAACCTTAAAAAATTCTCAAATGGTTATTTTTGTATGTAAACAGCTTTTTTGAAATGTTAAGTGTAGGTTAAAAAGGCTTTAAGATGCAGGTAAAAATGATAGTCTGTATGCCATTATTGAAATGATCAGGCATTTTCCCGCTGACTCCAAATGTGTGGCGATAAAGACTGTTCTGTTCAGGTTTTGTGCATCTCAAAGGTGTTTAATGTTGCTCTCCAGGTGTTTTTATTATTATTTATTATTTCACAGATCATATGAATTTGAAAGAAACATTACTGAGATGTTCTGTCGTTCTTCTCTTTGCAGTTTAAGAGTTTGACACATAAAGAAGTCTCTTGTGTCAAAAATATACTTTAATAGTCCTGCAGCCAAAATGATCAAAGACTAAATTGGAAAAAAAAATATTATGCAAATTAGTTGTAGCAGCTTTCTTTAAACTTGTATTTCAAATCAATCCTCACATGAATCATTCATGTAAATATACGCTCTCTCTCTCTTTCTCTCAGATGGTGGCATTGGAGAGGCAGGTGTTTGATTTCTTGGGCTATCAGTGGGCTCCTATCCTTGCTAACTTCTTCCACATCCTGGTTGTCATCCTGGGCTTGTTTGGCACCATTCAGTACAGACCTCGCTACATAGTTGTGGTAAGTGCTGCTTTTAATTAGTCATAACTAAGTAAATCTCACAAAAACTGTTCAGGTCACATTTACCAAAATTTGACTGTGATACAAATACAAGTAAAAGAAATTGCCATAAATAAAAACTAACATATTAGTTTAATTTTTAGTAATTTTATGTGCTTTTTTTATGTGCTTTTTATTTTTTTAATTTCAGTTTTACTTTTATTATTTAATTCAAGTTAACAGTTTTAGTGCTTCAGCTTAAATATATTTCAATATATTGCCATTCAACTTTTCTAATTTTTGTTTAGTTAGGTTTTTCAACCAATATTTACATTTTATTTTTTTTTCAGCTTTATTTCAGTTAATAGAAATGTATTAACAGTTTTAATTAACGATAATAGCCCTAATGTAAATGTTTTTATTATACGGCTCTGTGGAATACTTGATTCTGTCAATCGCGCCATCTAAAAAAAAAAGTTGTTTAAGTCAATGTTAAAGTCAATGCATAGCGTGTCAGGCGCGAATGAAAAAAAAAAGTGTCAGGCGCGAATGATTTCAATGTTAAAGTCAATGCAAAGACGCGTAAAAAAATTCCTGCGTCAAGTGCGGCGCGAATTGAGCATCTGGCGCGTTAATCGCGAATGATTTAGTTAGTGCCATTTGTGCATTCACACGTTTGACGCAAATTCTTACGGTAAAAAAAAAAGCTTACGGTAAAATTTCATTTTTCAAATCACCAATGAAATCTGACAACCGCTTGAATCATGCCAGAAAACGAAATTTTTTTCAGTCTGCATCAAGTTAATGTGCATGTGCAGCGGAAATGCGTCTGACCGTTTCTATAGGAACCAGAGATTCTAACGGCAGCTGCAGTGATGCCATAGACATATACACTAGACCTCACCTTGGCTACGGCAGTTCATTGGAACGAATGCGTCAATAGAGCCGCCATCTTGAAACAGGGGAGCCCCTCCACTTTAATGCATCAGACACAGGTCTAACGGAAATAAAATCACCATAAATCATCATGAATGCGATTTTTCTTGTTTTTTTGGTTTGTTCCAACGGTCAGACGTGTATTTATCATTGATTCCAGAAAGGAATTTTTTTTTTTTTTAAACATTCTTCCTAGTTCAGATTTCATCCGTGAACATCATACGCTGCACAAAAGTCCGCCACCATCAATGAATTCGAAGTAAAGGCAGAGATAGCAGCGTTACCTAGCTACTTCCTATGACAAGACCCCTGTTCCAAGATGGCGGCGGTTTTGACGCATGCTTAGAACCCCAAGGTGAGGTCTAGTGTATATGTCTATGCAGTGATGCGATGACTTTACCAATCCGTGATTGGCTCTTATTCAGACTTATTGAGAGTTGCACTTTTCCCCATTCCAAACAATACAAGTGACGCGCCTTGTGTAATTCTATAGACTTTGCTTTAAAATAGTTTAATCTCATATCAATATCTTTTATCCTCAGATTTATTCATGTGGTGAAATGCCATGTGATAAGTGGTATGACTGTACCCTATCTCTAAATGTCCGTCTAGTTTGAACTAGCCACTTGCTAGCAACTGCTTTCTGCGTTGAAGCTTTCCGTTTAAAGAGCTAATAAAATATTTCGTCTCAGATCAATATTTCATGTCTAATTATTTACTTATGTGGCAAGAGCTGTGAAATAAGCAGGATAATGTAGCCAGGCGGATGTTATCTCGGATTAAATCCCTTCAGGGTGATGCAAGATAATGGGGATGTACTGTACATGTCATTTATCCCTTACATATTCCATCATGATAATAGGAATTGTCATGATATGCACACACACAAACACATACACACCAAAGTCTTAGTGATCAAAAAACCAGACTTAATTTTCCTCAAATTATTATTTAATATTGATCTTGTTCTTGACAAGTTTTGTGAGATTCCCCAAACCATGCTAAAAATCAGTTTAAAGGGATAGTTAAATTTGAAATTAATTTTTGGTATGTTTTATCTTACCTCAAGGGCATCCAAGATGTAGGTGTCTTTGTTTCCACAGTATTTTCAATTTTGATATATTTAGGTCAAACCGTTCTTGTCTATCAGTCATATAATGGAGGTCTATGGTCACCACCTCAAAGAGCATGCACAGATAAGTCCAAATTAAACATGATTTAATGACTCGTAAATGTAAGTACACATTGATGGCCTGAGACACGAAACGAGCGGTTTGTGTGAGAAAACGAACAATATTTATATTGTTTTTACCTCTTGTTGCCACAGCCACAAAGCGCCCGAGCCCTCAGATCACTTGGACGTTGCTGTGGTTACAAGAGGTAAAAACGATATAAATACTGTTCGTTTTCTCACACAAACCGCTCGTTTCGTGTCTTAGGCCATCAATGTGTACTTACATTTATGAGTCATTAAATCATGTTTAACTTGGACTTCTCTGTGCATGCTCTTTGAGGTGGTGACCATATCCCTCCATTATATGACTGAAAGACAAGAACGCTTCAAATTAAATTATCCCTTTAACATAAGGTGTCAGTTCAGATCTGTTCCTTTATGACAGACAGTTTTGCACATAATGTGTGCAGCACATGCAAATCTGCTTACTGTTGACCACAGACAGCAGGCTTCGGCTGATAATGGACTCCCCGCAGACCCTGGACCGGCCTTATACTTTGACACATTGTATGGCATTTTAATCCCCTAAATCTGCAACTAATTACCATGAATTAAATGATTAGAGTCCAGTTCCCTTCAGTTCCTCGCTGGGTCATGATGCAGCTTCACTTCAAGTTCAACAGGATTATCGAGCCTTTTGGTTTAGCTGATGAGACGGGAATCAAGGCTATTTTAGGAATTTTAATATTCTGTTCTTTATTTTAATAAACAGTTCTTTAATCATCAATAGCCTTTAGTTGACATATAAACATTGGCTTTGTTGGAAATAGCATAATATACCATTTCTTATTATGGCTGCATACATTTTTTTATGAATAAAGTATAGTTTACAAAGTACACACATGTTCTGTGTGACCTACTAAATTTGCCAAAATGTGTATATTATATGGACGAATGTATTCCACATGAATACATGTGACAAATGACCTACAAGTGATATCACAAAATTAAATAAATAAATAAAAATCCTCCACGATGGTATCTAGATGTAAGAAACTTGAATTCATGTGACAACCAATTACTACTGTTTGAAACATTTAATTTACTGTTAAAATGTGCATTGTATTTTGCTAAGTATATATTTCTTTAATGTTGCTGGTTGAGCTGGGAATAGTTCTGCAAAGTCACTCCAATAAAAAACGAGGTTATGGTAAAGAGCGGTTGACCAATCACAACAAACTGGTCCAGCTGACCAATCAGAGCACAGTGCACTTTTCAGAAGGAGGGGCTTCATAGAGACAGTGTTACTGACAGACTGGTAAGAGACGAGGTGCTAACAATGGAGAATATGTGAAAAAAAATGTGTTTTTAAACATTCAAGCTTGAAAACTAATTCATGTAGAGCCCGAAACAACACATTTAAGGGTATCCATTTGGCAGACGCTTTTCTCCAAGGATTAATCGCATTCAAGGCACACATTTGATCAGTTTTTGCCATTTCTAGGAATCAAATCCATGACATTTATGTTGCTAACGCCATGCTTTACTGTTTGAGCTGCAGGAACAGCCTCGAAACACTTCATAATGTGGCTTGTCATCCATTTTCAAGACATTCTTCACATAAATGTAAATGATTCTACTACATCTACTGTGTATGACACTCTGAAACCATTTAATTGGAGCACGCAGCAAATCTTAATAAGCAATTATTTTCCATTTAACGCTATAAATAATGCACTTAAAGGGATAGTTCACTTTGAAAATTAGTTTTTGGTATGTTTTAGCTTACCTCAAGTGTATCCAAAGATGTAGGTGTCTTTGTTTCCACAGTATTTTCAATTTTGATATTTTTAGGTCAAACCGTTCGTGTCTATCAGTCAGATAATGGAGGTCTATGGTCACCACCTCAAAGAGCATGCACAGAGAAGTCCAAATTAAACATGATTTAATGACTCGTAAATGTAAATACACATTGATGGCCTAAGACACGAAACGAGCAGTTTGTGCGTGAAAAAAAAATTGAATTTAAGTAATTGAGGGCACGAGCGCTTTGTGGCTGTGGTTACAAGAGGTAAAAACGATATAAATACTGTTCGTTTTCTCACACAAACCGCTCGTTTCGTGTCTTAGGCCATCAATGTGTACTTACATTTACGAGTCATTAAATCATGTTTAATTTGGACTTCTCTGTGCATGCTCTTTGAGGTGGTGACCATAGACCTCCATTATATGACTGATTGACACCAACGGTTTGACCTAAAAATATCAAAATTGAAACTACTGCGGAAACAAAGACACCAACATCTTGGATGCCCTTGAGGCAAGCTAAAACATACCAAAAATTAATTTCAAAGTGAACGATCCCTTTAAAAACACTGAGTTGCTCTCATACATTTGATTGCACTAAAAGGTGATGATAATTTAATTTCGAGCACAAAATTTTCACATGGTGAGTAGAAATGTCATGTTGTAAAAAGTCGAGAAGACACGAACAGAACAAAGCATTGAAAATGTTGAAGACAGAAATGACAGACGAGCCTGGAAGCAAGACTTGCGGTTCTGAGACTCCTGGGAATGGTGAGGAGCATTGCTCAGGCTTGTGTCCGTGTCATGTGTTATAGAGACTCATTCTGCTTCACATCAGGTTAGAATTACACTAGTCACTATATAATAGTGATCTGACATGTGAATCATGCTGTCTGAGGTGTATCGTTTCCCTTCAAGACATTCGTCTTCTCAGTCTCGCTGACCTGTTTGTCTTTCTTTCTGAGTCATGATTAGAGACAGTATCCTGTCAAACAAAAGAATCAGAGTTAAAGGAACCCTATTATGGATTTTTTTAAATGACCTTTCACTTATAAGTGAAAGAAAACATCCTGCAAATTTTTAAATCTCAAAGTGATATATTGAGTTATTGTCTTTCAAAAGTAAGAGTCGACTCTGAATCTCTGATGACTCAATTCAACTGTATTCCTCAAAGTGGCAATGTCTGATATACAATGTATCATAGAGGCTCAGTGATACCTCAGTAATACCATGCTACTTTGATCTATATACGGTACTGAACAATATTCTTGTGCTGAAAAATGTACACTCTTAGAAAAAAGAGTTAATTAGGGTTCTATATATGAAGCATAGGGTTCTTTTCTCAACTCCAAAGAACCTTTTATGATAAAAAAAGGTTCCATAATGACAAAAAAGAACCCTTTTGGCACAGAGGCTCTTTATAGGCTATTATTCATTCATATATTACATTATTCTGCAATATTTTTTAGTTGTAATTAAATTATTGTTTATTAAAAAAAACCTGAAATGACACTCTTCGTGTGATATTGATTTACTACATAAAATGATATATACATTTTCTAACCCCCATATCTTGAATTTGTTGATCATTCACATGCATTCATAAACAGATTTTAGGATCTTAATGTTTGTCAATAATATGAAATATTTAATCCGGAAAGGACAAAAACAAATGATAAAGAATGAACCCAAAAGGTTCCATATAAAACCTTTTTCCTTCTTTTTCCTAAAGGGTTCTTATTATTGAACACCTAAAAGGGGTTCTGTGTAGAACCTTTTAGGGGTTCCAAATGGATAGCGCTGATAGAACCTTTTACATGTTCTATATAGAACCTTTTAAGGTTATATATAGAACATGTTCTTCTAAGAGTGTACTTACACTATTACATACACTCTTAGAAGAAAAGGTTCTATATAGAACCTTAAAAGGTTCTATCAGCGCTAGATATTTGGAACCCCTTAAAGGTTCTGTACACTCTTAAACAAAGGGTTCCTCTGGGTTCTATATAGAACCCTGGGGTTCCGTACTTGGCCAATAGAACCTTTTACCAAAAATGGTTCTATATAGAAAAAATGGTTCTATATAGAAAAAATAGAACCCTGGGGTTCCGTACTTGGCCAATAGAACCTTTCACCAAAAATGGTTCTATATAGAAAAAATGGTTCTATATAGAAAAAATACAAAAATGGTTCTATATAGACGAATCCGACGAGCGTTCTTGTGTAGGCTGCCATCTTGTGGCGACGCCATTACTGAGCTGTTACACCGGCATAGACATATGCACCGGTATGTAAACAAACCTCGGAGATAAGGTGATAACGCACCCTTGATGACAGCTACAGCCAGGCAGACTTGTTGGGTTGATGATGTTAGACATTGGCCTCCAGTCACAGATGAAGGTACAAACGATCTTACAGATTATTTATGAAAATAGCTTGGCAAGCAAGCTAGGCTAACGTTTGCTACCGAGGAAACTAAAAAAGATCTGTCCATTTGGCAACAATAAATAAATGAAATCAAATAAACAATTTCATGTTTTTCATTTGTGTCCATTATTTATCTCATTTTTACATTGCAACGGGCATGGGTAAGGTAACGTTACAGCTAGAAAGTATACACAATATCGACCAACTACTGTTTTTAAACCATGGAAAGAGGTCAATATAACAGCAGGAAAACAATAATGTCACATAACGTTACATTTAGCTCAGGAAAGCCATTTAATGACCATAGCATGTAAATTGAATAGAAAAAATAACAAGAGAGGAGATTTTGCTGATCACTATATCACACATTTATTATATTTTTTTACTTATGTCATTAAATAATTGTTATTATACGCGAATGTCCGCATCTTGTACTCGCCCAGGAAATTCTTTGTAAACCGTACGGCACCAGACAGGGGCAGTCGTCCCGGGGTATTCACAGTGTTTTCTCTTCAAAATTGAAATTTTACTGCCACCATTGAAACAATTTATAACGGAAACTGTTTACCCACTCGACATTATACAAGGGCTAACGTTGTAACGTTAGTGACAGTCGTAAATCGCGGGCTGTTTATTCCAGTGGACGCAAGTTGCAACTAAAACAATAGAAGGCAATGGCGCAACGCTACCCAGCAACAGCTCAGTAATGGCGCCCGCTTACTTCCGGTAGTTTCGCCGGATTCGTCTATAGAAAAAATACAAAAATGGTTCTATATAGAACCATTTTGGAGTTCCATATATGAAGCGGGGGATGGAACCATTTCTGGTTCTAAATAGAACCATTTCTTCTTAGAGTGTACCTTGGGTCACTAGCGACCGTATACACTTTTTACTAACATTAATTAGAAAACAGACATATACTTTTATACTTATATATACTTTTTACTTTTATACTTTTTGACATTGGCTGTCATGAGGCATTATAACTGTGTCATGAATATTTTTCGTGACCTCAACTACAGTGGTACACATTGAATTTGTCATTAAAGTTATAATGGCTTCATGACAGCCAATGTCAAAACCAACCACCTGACAGTTTAATGTAATGTTAACCAATAAAGCTAGGTGCTTTCTTAAGTTTGATAATTAATCTGCTATGTCATGTTTATGACAGGTTGTGTTGTCTTAGTAATGTCAAGTTATCATGACAAAGACACTGACAGGTTATGATGTATTGGTTTATGTCAAGGTGTCATAACAAAGACATCTCAAACAATGTCATGTTTGCATTAAAAATGTTATAACTGAGCAAATGACACTTAATAACAGTTGTCATAAACATGCATAAAACTTCCATATTCATAGCATATGTCATGTCATGATTATGAAGGTGTAATGTTAGTCTTATGCACACCCCTTCAAGTAAAGTGTTACCTTTTATTCTTTAATAAGTTTTGCAAGTTTGCTCCATTTTTCACTTTGTAAGAAGCTATCCACAATGGAAAAAAGCCTCAGACAAACTATTCCTCTGATCTTTGTATATAAAATCTTTTGCAGTTTGGTGGAAATGTTTCTATAGAGCAGTCTCAAGCTGGTCTTCAGTAAGGGACTGACAGGAAACCTGAGATCCATTTTTACATTTGTGCAGCATACATTTCCGTCTCCCCATGAACACTATCTGCTTCGTTACATTAACATAAATGTTTCTTTTTCTCTTTCTGAGAGTTTATATACAAGCAGCACTGATTCAGATTAACATTTCAATGGGATTTATAGGGTTGTAAAACCATAATTGATTGTGTTTGTGTGTGGTAAACAAAAGTACAAACGACCAGGAAGACACCAGGGTTGGTGTTCAAATGAGATGTACTGCCATAAAAGAAGAACAAAGAAAGATACAAATCTGGGATTAAAAGATAAGAGGCTGTTTAAAAGAAGGGCGTTACATCCAAACACACTCACTGCGGATGTTTTCAAGCATCTACTTGTTTCCTTTATACTCTGATAAAACAGCTCTGATGTGATTTACTGGTACTGGAACAGGTTAAGTTTGAACTAGATAGAGAATTGCATAAGAGTACTCATATTTGATGGTACAGAGGCTCAGTGATGGTAAACAGTACTTTGATCTATATTATACTGAATGATTGTATTGACATAATGTGATGTAACATGGAAATTGTCAGCATTTACTCCTCTGTGGAACATAAATACTATTTTTATACTATGAAAGTCAATGGGGTCCAATGTTATTTTAGAGCTTTTTCCATTGTATTGGCGAAAAAAGTTCACCAAAATATATTTTGCTCTCTGCAGAAAAAAAAGAAAGTTTTTTTCCACAAGTTTGTAATTGCTTGAGTAAATGATGACCTTGATGAACTATCCCTTTACAATTGTATTTTATGTATCACTACAAATATACTTCTTTTAAAAAACGATATAAATAATTTGGAATACATGATTTAAAAAAGCATCTTGTTCATCAAGGCTGTATTTATTTGATCAAAACACACTAAAATAGCAATACTGTAAAATATTACCACAATTTAAAATGGTTTTCTATTGTAATATACTGTATTTTTAACAATGTATTCCTGTGATCGACACCAGTCTTCAGAGATGCTTTTCCTATTATTATCAATGTTGAACAATTAATATTTTTGTGGAAAAGTTAACAAAGATACACTACTTTTTAAAATAAATGCTTTCCATTCACCAAAGAATCCTGAAAAGCTTTTTTAACGTCAATAATAATAAGAACCTTTATTCATAATTGAGCTCTAAAAATAATTAATGATAACGAATCACCAAATCATCATGATTTCTGAAGGATCATGTGACACTTTTGACTGGAGTAATGAATGATGCCGAAAATGCTTTGCGTTTGCTTACAACAGAGAACAGTTATTTTGAACTGTAATAATATTTCACAATATTAAAGTTTAAATAAATGCAGTCTTGGTGATCATTAAATGAACAGTAGTGAAAACAAAAATCCATAGAAAAATTTTAACTTTACAGACATTTCCTTCAACTCAACTCAATGGCTAATTCAAAATATCTATGTTAACATTCCTGTAAAAATACAGACGGTTCTCCTTCATATTAACAAAGCACAATGTGCCGTATTTTCGCGTATGTTGCTGTGTTTTGAGTGCGTTTTGTTGAATGATTGATAAATTGTCCATCTTTTCGGCAGTATACGGTGTGGACCGCAGTGTGGGTGGCCTGGAACGTCTTCATCATCTGCTTCTACCTGGAGGTTGGAGGTCTGACGAAGGTAACTCACACATGGGTCGGCTGTCAATGTTTAAGAGTATCAGGCATTTTAATGACCGTGTTTTACAGATAAACGGCACCATTTAGTTTAGTTTAGTTTTACAGATTGTCTGACTATCTGTCCTTGTACCAAAACCTTTGTGTATTTGGTTGCCAAGTGTCTTAGTAACACATCTAGACGCATGCTGTGTGAGTGTCTTGAAATCAGACGAGAGCCTTTTGGAAAAGCCGTTGTGTGTTATCCCTAACCCATCCCATGATACACTTCTCTCTACATGCGCTGACAGGTCATGGACACAAACACTCAGCCCCGAGTGTCTAAGCAGTGAGAAACAAGCTCGCTGTATAATTTACACATTCTACTCTCAGTGTGTGTGTGTGCTTGTTTTTGACTCCTGCTTGGCCCAGTTTCCTTGCCTCAGATTTCTTGTTCCCACAACTAAAGGCACTTATCCTGTTTCAGAAGTTGGAGCGAGACTGGATGAGAACATCTTAAAGTCTCATAGATGCTTGCTGAGTAAATCTGGTGCATGTGTAATGAGCTGCTGTTATATCAGAACTCTTGTTCACTGTTCACTGCAGATTATCCCAGGATAAAGGGAATAATTGGCCAAAAAAACTGATGCCTGGGTCATACTTATTAGACTCTTTGGTTTGTTCATTTCTCATAAGGAAGAGGGCTGTTTATTTGGACACTTAAAGTCCCTGTAAAGGCAATTCTACAAAATAAATGTTAGAAATGTATTGCTAAAACATATTACAAAGACTGTGAAGTACTGAATTGTGGAGTTAAGCCCCGTTCACACCGCCAGCGACAAAGCGACATGATCCCATTCATTTGGCGAGACACAATGACAGTTGGCGACAGAATGTGGGCGTGTCAAGAGACAAGCGACAAAAGTTGAGAAATTTCAATTTTATGCAAATGAGAAGCGAAAACCAATAGAAAAGAAGACTTTCAGCGGAGCTCACGCATCGCTGTCTCGAGTGCAGGCAAGACAGAAAGAAAGAGTTTGAGGACGATTTCACCATTTTATATGATTTCTGTAGCCACATACATATATAATAAAATGATGCATGGAAAAGAAACTGTCGACAGTTTCAGTCAATTTAATTTATACATTTAACGTAATAGTGTGAGTATTGTCTTAGTATAGTCGAGTGTTTTAATTTTATGATTCACGTTTAGCACAATTCCCCCTGCATTACATTGACTATTAGGCACAAGAAAATGGATTATTTGTCAAATTCAAATGAAGTTTTTATAATTTGTGAGTTTAATTTGTTCATTGATCGATCATTAATGTAGTAAAGGATTTAATCCACTGAACACTGCTGTGGTAATATAGACCATTTCACAAGATGTAAACAACACTGGTCCAGAAGCACTTCCTGTTTTAACACTACATAAAAGCTGGGATAAAATACAACCAACAGAACATTTAAAACTGAATCAAAAAGTTAAACAAACATCTTTAAGATGTTTTCTTTACATGTGAAATAAAGAAAACAGTTACAAACTGAAACAGGAAGTGCTTCTGGACCAGTGTTGTTTACATCTTATGAAATGGTCTATAAAAACACTCTACCAACAGCATATGGTTTCTTTTTAGCCTTAAAAGTAATTTATTCCAAGTCAAATTAAAATTATATAGTTGTATATGTCACTTGTGATGGTCTTTTGTATAGATATGGCTAGACGTGCAGTCTACCAATAACATCAGAGCGACAGCATTACGAACGCCCACAAGCGACATCACAGTACAAAGCTTAGCGACACACAGCGACAAAGTCGCTGGCGGTGTGAACGGGGCTTTTGACCGTTTTTTTGCATTACTATTTTTCGTATTTGTTGGGCGGGTCTAACTGTAGGCTACGTTCACACCGACGCCGACTTGAGCTTCCAAAGCGGCCGGAAGTCATTCATTTTCAATGGAAGCTGGCTTCTCTCAGCTGCAAGGAGCGTCAAATCCATCGGCGTTGCGTTTTGGACGTTTTGGCCGTTTTGAGCGTCAATCAGAAAGTTAAAAGAAGCTCAACTTTATGGTAATGAGCTGTGACGTGGTTCAGCAGCAAGCAGCGGCAAAACGCCAGCAACCAATCGGAGTATAGACGTCCTTCACGCTGGCTTATTCCGGAGAAACATACAATGTAAACTTTCGTTCCTACCAAAACATTAGTTCTGAGTAAATGGAAGAGAAGCTAATCATCGCCGTTGCTGTGTTTCCTACAGGTTTCGTATCATTTATGACATGACGTTGTTTGCTTATAGGGACCGCATGAGCGCAACTTTTATTTGAAATATTTACGAACGCTCGTTTTAAAGCGGGAATGCTAATAATTTGCTCACGGTGACACCGATTTGACCGCAAATAATAATAATAATAGCTAGCTATTTTTTTCCCGACCAAATGTGACCAAAACGGTTATAAAAATGCTGTCATTGTAAAAGGTTTCTTCACTTTTTTTTCAGTTTATTACATTTCATGTTGTGACACTTCTATTTTCCCTGCAACATCAGAGCGTCCAAAGCGTCAACAAGCTTCCCCGTACTTTTTTACAAGCGTCCTTGACAGGGCGACCAGAGCTTCTTTGACGCTCAAGTCGGCGGCGGTGTGACCATACAGTAAAACGGGGCTTGATGACGCACTGGAGCCCCTGAGCTCGTGGACACGCCCCAACTTGATGACGCCTGGAGCCCCTGAGGCCCCTCCCCTAACAATAGAGCTCAATCGCGAGTTACTTTCAGTACTATTAGTAACTACAGTCTACAGTTTTCTAGCTAGCTATGCCTTCGACACGGAAATGCGTAGGCTACTACCTGGATGCGATCATGTACAAAACAGATCGGTGTCTTTATTTAAATTTCCAAAAAACAATCACATCAAGAAGAGGTGGATTAATTTTGTTTAGAGCCAACCTTGATAGCTGAGGATCACCGCCAAGGTGCCAACACCCGCCTCTGATAGTTTTACACGGGATAGTTTTATAAACTTTCATCGGACACAACTGGGATTCACTGAAAATCCGCTGTTACTGGTGAACGGGGCCGAAACGACTATCTCTCGCCTCAGCGTTCATCCTCCCGTCCCGAAAACAGGATCACCTTAAATCACCGTCGGCAGCTTTCCCGCGAGTGGGCGTGGTTTCAGTGCAGCCAGCGGACACGCCCCCAGCGTTTGAGAGCAGAGAATAATGCTCATTTTTTCAAGATTTTGACTTATTTTATGTACTTGCCGATTTTTATCATTCAAATTTGGCTGGGTGGCTAATAACACTTTTTTAATGGATAATGGACTATGTGCACGTTAGCATATGCTAGTTCTGGCTGCGAAACCGATATGGGGTGTCTAGTTTCCGGTAGCCTGATGGACGACGTAGAGGATGTATTTTTCTCCAGATGTCTTGAACATTTGCCGAATATTACAGTCGATTATGTTCATCGACTGGCTAATGATTTTCCTCCAGCTCCCCAGAGCAAGAGAGAACGGGTTTAAATATTACATTTCTCAGTATTTGCATCATTTTGAAGGGAACGTTAAGTCACAACAACATCCATGCTCAGACTGATCTCATGAAATTGCGTATACATGTATGACACGTATCACGTATTTTTGGCATGCTATCAACACGCATAATCTCTTTTCAGCGTGTTTATGAATACCGCGACTTAACGTTATTATTGTGTATATATATATATATATATATATATATATAGCATATGACCTACCTCAACCCCAACCTACCCGTCACTCCTACCATCCTAGGAAAAAATAAATATCGCTCCCCAGATGTAGATCTACATTTTGTTTTGTTTCGCTCGGACATTTGACGGCGTGTACATACGCGGTACACGTGGAATCACTCGGACATTAATGTTGCCATGCTACGTGCTCAAGCTATGCGATTTGGTAACTGTTTTATATCTCTCTATACATTATAAAATGCGAAATCATGCGTTAGAAAGTGCATTTTCCAGAACAGTTTGTGTTGGCCATTGTTTTGTTTATGATGTTCAGAGGCTATGTTGTTCACAACCACTATCTAGAATGTCATATAGATCAGTGTTGACAACCACTATACATGTCATACAGGGAGTAAAGGTATCCGACGTTGGTTCGTTCGTTATCAAGTTAGGCTGTTTAACACATATTAGGCTGTTCACACATATTTCTAAACAGGTCTCCCTTGCAAAATAGGTTCTAAACCCAGGGGCTTCTCCTGGTTAAAGGGTATAATATAATAAATAATTAGTAGCCTTAAAACTTCCTTCTAGTTGTCATGGATACGCAACGCTCCACTCTGTAAAGCGACTGCTTGGGTGAGGTGACAAAATGTGAAATATCGTTTACTTTTCACAATGCAGCAGCGCCTGGCTCCACCCAAATATGAGTGAAAACTGTGTTGGTTGACTTGACAATGAACAAACGAACATAGTTTTAGACAAATATATTTAGATAGCTAAGCTTTAGATAGCCAGTCCACTGATGTAGGATGTAAACAACGGCAACCGGAACCGAAGTACCCAACATCCGCCCTCAAGGCGGAAGTTAGCATTTTTCTCGTGCACAGAGTCAATAACACACACTTAATTTTGACTTTAAAGGGACTTGAACAACAAAAGAGATTGGAAGCGTATACTGTTGTTACAATTCATCCCACCTTCGTTTTAGTATTTCTTTTCTCCCTCTGTCTCACACAGTCACGCTCCGTCACTCCCTCCCTTTTTTTCCTGTGCTGTCTGTCACAGGTGGGACGTCCTTCTCCCAAACACCCCCCAACCTCTGTAAAGTCAGGTTACATGAATATTCATGAGCTTTTGCAGACAAATCTGCTGTCCAGAAAGCAGCGAGTAGAAGCGCATTGATCCTTTTTTTCTGTCTGTGTGTGTTTGTATGTGTGTGTGTGTGTTTTCTCCATTATCTGCTTGTCCTCCTGCTGTCCATATGTAGCAACGAGGGAGCTGTGTGTGTCCATCTGTTGGGTTAATGCCTGAGCCCGGCCCTCTGCCACCTGCTCCCCGTAACACCCCATTATTCAGCCCGCTTCATTAACACGGCCCACCGCAACGCCTCCAAATATGACTGTCCCACTGCTGTCTGTACTGTCATACACAGAATAATACACAATATGTTAATATCATCCTGCTTTGAGGACCCCCTACTGTTAGATTGATTACAGCTGGACCGTGAGGAGAAGACTAGCAAACAGTGTGACTACAGTAGATTCTGTCTGCTTGTTTTTCTGTCTGTCTCTCAATTCATTTATCTGTCTGTCTCTCACACACAATATACCGGTCTGTCTGTGCCTATCTCTCTCTCTCTCTCTCTCTCTCTCTCTTTCTGTATCACAATGTTTATCAGCAGTGGCAGTCAGTGCTTTTCAAAGGTGTTTGTAATAAAATATAACAACTATACATTTATTAAATGAAAATGATTATTTATTATAGGCCACATATTGCAAAGTCCTGCCTAATCAAGAGCTCATTCAGTCGCCAAATAAATAGCCTTGGATTCCAGGTAGTACAAAATACACCGATTGAAATGTTTGAAAAGCGTTCAAGCACGTTTCAAACCTTGAAAAAATAATGGTTAAAATCAAGAATTTTCTAAACTTTCAGTATTCTCTATGAATAATGTATGAAATACAGGCAAAAAATAGTGCAAATCAAAACGAATGAGTCAAACCGGTTCAAATAATTACATAAACCACTCAGACATTGTCACTTTTGGTCTCAATCGATACATTTTTTTTGTGTGGATAAATTTAAAGCTACACTGTGTAACTCTTTTAGTTTATTCTTAGCTAAAAACACTTAGTTCTTTCAAAAATATATGTGCTCATTGATGTATATTTACTTTAAAGTATTCTCGTGAGTGTATAATATGCCATTGAAAATATATACGGGTAAGGGTTTCTAATGTCGGTCTCCATGTTGCCCCTCCATCTTGAAAGTACATTAGCCAAAGAGGGACATACCCGTTAATTCAAGCTTCGCCTTTCGCATTTACGTTTGAGTTAACACTCATGGACGAGGTCGAACTGGAAGCCATGTTAATCTTGGACTACATTGGCCACCGTAGGAGTTAAAACGAAATCGGAATTGAGAGGAACAGAAATTAATGTTCACTGGATGGTTATATACCTTTTCACCACTAGATGGGGGTAAAAATCACACAGTGTAGCTTTAAAAATGCGGAGGATTTGAATGACTAATGATGCAAAAAAGGTGACTATTAATAATGATATAATTTCATAAGACTTGATTTAGATTTTTTTTCCCAAATGTTTATTTCGAATTTATGCAAAAGAACAAATGAAATCAAGTAGACGAATCAAAATGATTAGAATAACACAGTAAAACAAATTCACAAATTTTTTCTTACTCTTATCAATGTCCATTTCATAAGACCATCACACAATGCTCAGTCTTAGATCTCTAATATTTCATGAGCAAATCGAGGTGGCTTAGTGATGAAGTATTTTGCTATCATCAAGAGCAAAGCTGCAGAGATCTACGTTAGCTTCGACTGCTGCCATAGAAACAGAAGTTCAACGAATGCTAACACAACGCAGACCAATCATTCCCACACGACATGAATATGAAAAAAATCTGTCACATTCAGATAATGAAGTACCATATTAACTCACTGAACACGAGTCATGTACTTTTGCTGAAGAGGGAAAGCATATTAAGTGGTTGGGACTCTCTCTCTCTCTCTCTTTCTTTCTCTCGGTCTCATTGATTGAGGTGTTTGTGTGGGGTTGTCCTCTCATGCATGGCTGCAGGCTGTGTCTGTCAGTCTCACACTGTGACTGTGATTAAATACGAGACAGGACGGTCTGTATCGACCCCCCTACACGAACACACACTCTTCTCTATGACATATAGTCACACGTATAATGATAATGCCTACTGATGATGAAGGGGACGAACGCCTCTGTGCCTCCATTAGCCAGAAAGAGGTCAAGGACGAGTTACTCTCTAATAAGCGTAGAAAGTCCATAGGTTTTAGGTTTGACAAGTGTCATTCGTCTCATGCAGCCTGAGAACTGTGTGGATTGACAGAATCCATTACGTCTGATGTGCATTTGCAGCGACATGCAGCGTTCAAGACCACGTGACACAGACACACATCGTGGTCACTTAATTTGCAGGAATATGTGAATTGGGAGTCAAAATTGTCACTGAATACATTTTGGTACAAAGTTAATGATAGTAGGGCTGGGATGCTATAGCTAAACATATTTTTCACTGATTTTATATATTTCTTTATATTTATGTGAACACCTTACTAATACTGTATTTGACCTCCTTTCACCGTCAGAACTGCCTTACGTGGCATTGATTCAACAAGGTGCTGAAAGCGTTCTTTAGAAATGTTGGCCCATATTGATAGGATAGCATCTTGCAGTTGATGGAGATTTGAGGGATGCACATCCAGGGCACGAAGCTCCTGTTCCACCACATCCCAAAGATGCTCTATTGGGTTGAGATCTGGTGACTGTGGGGGCCATTTTAGTACAGTGAACTCATTGTCATGTTCAAGAAATGCCCTAACTAGTGGTAGACTGGTGTATTTTTGCCACAGCTGGATAAAAGTGATTTCTGGACAAATTTTACGAGAGATTTAACAGCACATTGTAGATGGTGTGTGAATGGTAACAATGTCATGTTTAAATCCAGTTATAAATATAATCACAGCATTTTTGTATATACAGTATACTTGCCTTTCCTCCATCTCATGTTTATGAATCAGATTCTTTGTCGGCCCTGTGTTAAATTATGCATCCATGCTTTACAGCGCACACTCCCTTATCAGTTATATTGAGGCTAATGACAACAACTCCTCTCTTTCCTTTCAGGACAGCAACCTCTTGACCTTTAACATCTCGGCACACCGCTCCTGGTGGAGCGAGCACGGGCCGGGATGTATCTCCAGCGAAGAGCGCGTTGCGGATACACAGTCCTATATACAAATCATGGGCTGTCTGCTGGAGTACCAGTACATCGAAGTCCTCCACTGCGGCTTCCAGATCCTCACCTCAGTAAGTCGCTCCAAAACACACACACACTAATCCTATGCCAAGGCATGTAGAAAAGCTAAAACACTCAATAAACATTCCTTAAATAGTCCAAAACCAAAGTTTTACTATGGTTTATATGGTCTCCACTGACTATTTTTACACTGACTATGAGCATGTTGTTGCTTGTATATAGCATAACTGAAAGGGTTTTCATAATACAAGTTTACAAGACTGTATGAGAAAACATTGCCTGTCTCTATACACTCAACCAGTCCTTAAAAAGCACACCAGTTTAAAGTGCGCCCTGAATACAGCACTGTATGTGTGTTGTGCTGAAGTGGCCCTCTTGAGTCGAGGTCTGGCACGGCTCCAGGTCTGGTTGGGCAAACTCCGTGGATTATAATCAGCAGGCAGCAAAACAGAAGGACCGTGAGCGCATTTTCTTAAAGGGATCTGTTTTGTTGACTTAAAGTCCCCCTGTGGTGAAAATCCAGCTTTTAGTGTTGTTAATATGTCTTTGTGGTGTTTTTAATGTGCTTTAAGACAAACCATGTGCAAATTCACACATGCCAACACCGTTGCTGAGTATTTTCTCCTTAAAACTGCAGTGAAACAAAGACAGTCTCAAAAACGCAGTTTGTAACCAATCAGATCAACCAGTGGATGTCTGAGCTGGTGTGAGTGAGTGGAGGCAGGCTAATTTGCATATTCATAGATGTGCGTATACTAAATGAGACGAGGGTGTCGAGTTACAGCTATTTGACAGGCATGGAGATGTTTTTCAAGGAAAAAACATTTAAATATTTAATGTGGTGATCAATTTAAATATTTAATTTGGTGATCAATTTAAATATTTAATTTGGTGAATTTGGTGAATTTAATTTAATGGTGATCAAAGAGGAGTTTTGAGGAGGGATACAATTATTTACTAAACGGGGACTTTAAATGTGCTGTGCACAGTAGCCTACTGAGGTATATGGATACTTAAGCCACACTTATAATGTCTGATTTATTATTATTATATGAATAATATAATATAATATAATATAATGTGTGGTCAGTACAATTTTTTTTTTAAAGAAATTACTTTTTTTTTTAAATTGATCAATAGTGAGAGTAAAGACATTTATAAATAATTTTAAAGAAGATTTCCCTTTTTTTAATTGCTCTTTTGATGAATGTTTTCTATTAATCAAAGAATCCTGGAGGAAGAATCAGTTTCCACAAAAATAAAAACTTGAATTACCAATTTATCTATATATATATATATATATACACTACCAGTCAAAAGTTTTAGATCAGTAAGATTTTTTATGTTTTTAAATGAAGTCTCTTCTGCTCGCCAAGGCTGCTTTATTTGATGAAAAAAAAAAATGACAAACAGTAATATTGTGAAATATTATGACAATTTAAAATGACTGTTTTCTATTTTAATATATTTTAAAATGTAATTTGAAAGCTGAACTTTCAACATCATTACTGTTGGTGATTACACATCAGTTTCAGTGTCACATGATCCTTCAGAAATCATTCTAATATGCTGATTTTATGCTCAAAAAACATAAATTATCATTTTCAATGTTGAAAACAGTCGTGTACCCCCCCCACCCAAAATTCTACGATGAATAGAAAGTTCAAAAGAACAGCATTTATTTCTAACATTATAAATATCTTTACTGTAACTTTTGATCAATTTAACTCATCCTTGATGAATAAAAGAATTTTCTAATTTCTTTCCCCCAAAAATAAACTCTTACTGACCCCAAACTTTTGAATGTTAGTGATTAATGTTACAAAAGCTTTCCATTTCAGATCAATTCTGTTCTTTTGAACTTTCTATTCATCAAAGAACCCTGAAATAAAAATATAAAAAACTGTTTTCAACATGGATAATAATCATAAATGTTTCTTGAACATCATATTATAATCATTTCTGTAGGATCATGTGACACTGAAGACTGGAGTAATGATGCTGTAAATTCAGCTTTGATCATAGGAATAAATTACACTTCACTATTTATTCACATAGAAAACCGCTGTTTTAAATTGTAATAAATATTACTGTTTTTTTGTGTGTAATTTTTGTTATCAAATAATTGCAGAAGAGACTTCTTTTAAAAACTTAAAAAATCGTACCGATCTAAAACTTTTGACCGGTAGTGTATATATAAAATGTTGTGTTTGCTTTTACTTTCATCATCTTTGTCTCAAAACATGTCACACACAAGCTGTCTCTGTTCATTCTTGTTGTGAAATAAAGCCTACATGTCTGATGGTCTGAAGGGTTGGGAGTGCCGGAAGGTTCTAGAAAGTGATGATTATCCTCTCATGCTCCAACAATGAACTGCTAACTTCATGATGAGAGCTGAACAAAGTGGCCTTCGGGAAGTGGGAGTTGCACACACACACACACACACACACACGGTTAAAGTTCAAACAGGCTTCTTCAGTGGGAGTGCAGAGATTAGTTAGAAAAATAGAGATTTTTATCTCTATTGGCCAAAGTACACAGCTTGTGGTTCAGTAAAAAATTGGGAAATGAAGTAAAACGCTCAGAAGAATGGGAATATGGATAAAGGGCCAAATGAATCTCTCACAGAAGTCAAATTACACCACAAAATCATCGGCCCATTGTCAATGCAACAAAAGAAACGTCACCCACCCGGCAAGACATGTTTGTGGTGGCAGGCAAGACTGGGAGAGAAACATTTGTCCCCTGTGTGAGAAATTCTGTTGCTTGGGATTGTGAGAGCAAACGATAGACAGAGTTGAGTCAGATACTTCATAAACATTTCTGTGTGTGTGTGTGTGTGTGTGTAACTTCAGAACTGGGTCACAATCAGAAACACTTATGGTGAATAGTCATGTTATAAGCATCCGAAATTGTGCAGTCACAAGAGTACGTAGGACACACACCAGAGATGACAGGCGAACGACTGTGAGAGTCTCAGCTTTATGTACATCCCTCCCAGCGTCTGTTTTCCCATCAGTGTGAGCCGTGAGGGAGGAACCTGTGGAAAAACCTCAATGACAATTACAGCACTAACTAACACTAATACAAAGCATAACATTTCATTTGTCCTGTTGAGGTTGACAATCAAACATATTTTGATCTTCTTTTACTGGCCTTTAAAATACTGTACCGCTGTCCTAGTATGCGTCTCAGATTTCACTCGGATGTTATCAGCATGAGTGTGTGGATGAGTTCATTCCTCCTCCATCTTTGTATCTCACTATTTTCTCGTCTGACATATTTCCTCTCATATCTCAGTTGCTTCTCTCTTCAGTAAAACACCGAAGTCGAGATAAGGCAGCTGTTTCAGACGGAGAAGAATGTCTTGTCAGGATGGTATGGGACTTCATCACTTTCTTTCCCATCATGCTCTCTGCCCCAGGGAGGGACGATAGATAGCTGTGAAACATTTTACCCGAAATTTAGACGTTCAAGTCCACACTGAAAATCGATGAAACATCCAAAAGCTCCGTTTTTGTTTAGATATAATGCATTAAAGGTGTAGTTCACTTTAAAAAAACTTTTGCTGATAATTTACTCACCCCCATGTCATCCAAGATGTCCATGTCTTTCTTTCTTCAGTCGAAAAGAAATTAAGGTTTTTGATGCACAAATGCTCGCACTGTGACGCACGTTCGTGACTCTCCTGTTCGAACTCGTTCATCAAAATGAACAAATCTTTTCCAGAGTCAATTTATTTGTTTCGTTCGTTGAATGAACCACATGACTCAGAAAAAGATTTGTTCATTTTGAAAAAAACGAGTTCGAACAGGAGAGTCACGAACGTGCGTCACAGTACAGAGCAAGGCGAGCATTTGTGCTTATAAAACTTAAAGGATTAGTTCACTTTTGAAAAAACTTTTGCTGATAATTTACTCACCCCCATGTCATCCAAGATGTCCATGTCTTTCTTTCCTCAGTCGAAAAGAAATTAAGGTTTTTGATGAAAACATTCCAGGATTTTTCTCCATATAATTGACTTCAATGGGAACCGGATGGTCCAAGGTCCAAAAGACAGTTAATAACAGTTTCAGATGCAGCTTCAAAAGTCTTTAAACGATATCAGACGATGAATAAGGGTCTTATCATGCGAAACGATCGGTTATTTCAAAACTTATTCTAAAAATGTAACTTTTCTAAGGACAAATGTTAGCCTTGCTCTATTCTGTGAGGCGCGTTTTCAACGTCACATATTACGTAATTACGTTCAAAAGGTCACGGGCGACGTAGCCGAAAGTACAGAGTCAGTGTTTACAAGTTGAACGCATAGGTTGAACGTGCAAACTAACTCAAACGGCGTTTACAAAAAAAGAAATTAAAAGGAAAAACAACGATGTCGGACGATTTTGATTCTGTACTTCCGGCTACGTCGCCCGTGACCTTTTGAACGTAATTACGTATTACGTGACATTACAAACGCGCCTCACAGAATAGAGCAAGGCTAGCATTTGTCCTTAGAAAAGTTACATTTTTGGAATAAGTTTTGAAATAACCGATCGTTTCGCATGATAAGACCCTTATTCATCGTCTGGTGTCGTTTAAAGACATTTGAAGCTGCATCTGAAACTGTTATTAACTGTCTTTTGGACCTTGAACCATCCGGTTCCCATTGAAGTCCATTATATGGAGAAAAATCCTGGAATGTTTTCATCAAAAACCTAAATTTCTTTTCGACTGAGGAAAGAATGACATGGACATCTTGGATGACATGGGGGTGAGTAAATTATCAGCAAAAGTTTTTTCAAAAGTGAACTAATCCTTTAAACTTTGTTATTTATTTATTAAATAAGCGATCGTTTCGCTTGATAAGACCCTTATTCATCATCTGGAATCGTTTAAAGCCCTTTGAACAGTTTGCAGTTTACACTGAAACTGTCTTTTGGACCTTGAACCGTTTGGTTCCCATTGAAGTCCATTATATGGAGAAAAATGCTGGAATGTTTTCATCAAAAACCGTAATTTCTTTTCGACTGAAGAAAGAAAGACGTGGACATCTTTGATGACATGG